GATGTGCACGATGTGCAAGTGCCACTGTACCAAGATTCTAATAAACGGCCAGATAAATGTTCCATAGAGGATCCATGCCTCGGTTAGATAAGAGCAATTTAAACCAATTTTGTGGACGAGGCCAAACTTAAGCCTTACTGAGATTTCTTTGCCGAAGACTGAGCGCCTAAAGAAAGACGTCGCTCGTTTCTTTGTTTGTTTTCTTTTTTGTGCCACTGCTAATTAAGTATAGTTAATAGCATGATTTGTAGTGATATTTGGCATAAATGCCACCCGTAATATTTCAAAATTGTTATACGTAATTTCACGAGCCCTTAGGCGAGTGAAATTTGAGACAATTTTGAAATATCACGAGTGGTATTTATCCCAAATATCACGTGCAAATAATGCTATTATTTGTTTATACTACTACCCACACAAGGATTGTAATTTCACATGTAGGTATTTCAAATTAAGCTGAAATACCACTGCTCTAAGCCAATCCAATTGCAGAAAATTCTCATGTAGTAGTATAAGTACTCGTTAAAGACGAAGTAGTAGTCATGTCTGATAGGGTGAAACCTACACGAGTACAAAATGAGGAAATAATAAAGGCGAAACTACACAAAAATTCTTTTCCAGCGCAAAGACCTCATGGTTTTAGCTTTAGTGGCAAGTAATAGCGTTTCTGATGTGCAATACTGATTTTACCGCGAAAGATTGTTGATTGCTCGTATTTCAAGAAGTATACTTTGTCAACAAGTGTGAAGCCATATTTTCTGCGTTGTCTTACGGTGTTTGTTTGTTTTTTGTCAGCTTTTAGGGGACCGTACCGATATTTTTCAATCGCCTTAAAAGTGATTTTATCCTTGTCCGGTCGCTATGAAATTTTCACCACTGACTGACACTGGATTGAAATTTGCCAAAATGTAGTTTTAAGTAAAATCGATATCACCATGGCAACAGTAAACAAAAAAATTAAATCGATGAAAGCCGAATTTTGCCCGATCTAGACCTTCAACTGAAAATCAGACACCAGGAACGTATTGTGTGGTGTTTAGTTTAAATAACCTCCGTGAGAGGTAAAAAATTCTGTATATTTGAATTCAAATAAGAAGTAAATATATTTCAAACCTTATTTTTTTCAATAGTCGTGATAAATTGTTCGATAAAAAAGTTCTAAATAACTCAAGTTAGTCTTAAGTAAGGTCAGATTGCTGTTTTATATCATATTTCGCTGCCTGGAAATTTTGTGTATTTTCTTTCTTGCTATCCTGAAAACTAACCTGTTTTCTCACCACCTGTCTAAGTGCAACTTTATTCTAAATTTTGACTCTTAGCGCTTTTCTGTATATCTCTAGAACGGGTCGACTGAATTCTTTTTACACCTCATCAGATAATCTTCACGATGCGTATAATAATACCTGAAACTTTCATTCAGATTGATTTACTGCAACACCTTAAAAATTCAAGACAAACCTAGCCTACGAACCGGCCAAATATTTTTTGGGTGGATAGTCCATACATTGACTCTTGTTTAAAACCTCTCTACAACGGCCACTTTCTTCTGTCCCCAGGGTGGCCGTTGTGGAGAGTTTCTACTGTAACAGTCATCAGCATATTTTTCTACGCGTTCCTCTTTTTGTCGTCATTAGAGACTACACCAATACGATTCCAGTATCCCTGCCTTAAAACCAACAAGAATGAGTTATTTAGGTTGAAGTTCTTCTTTTGTCTCTTCGATTACTGAACTGCCACCATTTGACTATTTGGTAATGAGCCTGCTATCTCTACCTCGCCCCGGTCTAATGAAAATTCTAATCATGAACGTATATCTGAATCATACCTAACTTTCAGTCTACCCAAACTTAAGGGCTTCAAAATTGCATTTCTCAATATCGTTAGTTTGCCTAAATACCTGGACGAGCTTCGCTTAAGAATGCAATCTCAGACATTAGACTTGCTAGCCTTAAGTGAGACTCGTCTTGATAACACCTTCACTGATTCTGCAGTGTCAATTGATGGTTATACACTTATTAGCCGTGACCGGTGCAGAGGTGGTGGTGGTGTTGCCATGCATGTACGTTCGCAACGTCATCGACTTTAAAATCAGACCCGACCTCTCTGATCCAGATCTTGAGTTCTTGTGTACTGAAATCCAAAAACCCAGAGCCAAGCCATTTCTTATTTCAAACTGGTATAGACCTCCGAATTCTCCAATTGAGCTCTTTGATAAGTTCGAGGTCCTTCTGGCAAAGATTGAAGCTGAAAATGTTGAATCAAATATAATAGGTGACATCAACTGTGACATGATGGCAGTTACCCCTGCTAATGAAACTAGACACCTAATTGAACTCTGTGAATTGTTTCAATATACTCAATTGATCAAGGAGCCTACACGCGTCACTTCAAGTACTAAATCACTTATCGACTTATTTCTTACCAATGAGCCGGTCAAATTTGCTACATCAGGTGTATCTCCTATTGGTTGCAGCGATCATAGTTTGATCTATGTCTCTCG